GGAATAGAAAAGTGCTGCCTCACTACTGCCTTGTTGAGGTCTTGTGGGTCTAAACAAAGCTGTAGCAAACCATCCTTCTTTTGTGTGATCACAAGGCTATTGACCCAGGATGTGGGGCTTAGTTACCTTCATAATGACTCTCATAGCTTCCAGCATTTTGAAGGCAGTCTTCAATTTTCCTAAGGTTGCATAGGACATTTTTCTACACCCATGCACCACTGGTGGTACCGCTGTGTCAACATAGATGTGGAGGGTACTACATAATTGGTCTAATCCTTCAAAAACGTCCGGGTATGGTTTGAGAAGGTCTGCCTTGGTTGCAGGTATTGTCAGGGCCATTCCATGGACTCTTCCGACATTCCATGGACTTGTCTGATAAGATCTAAGGTGGTGCATGCCACTCTACCAAGTATTGGTGGGTCACTGTTGTCTGTTATCTAAAAGTTAAATCGGCACCAGATTTGCAGTGTACAGTGATTGTACCTTTTTGTTTTTATGCGTGTACTGCCAAATGCAACAAATGTAACATGAGTTAATATCTTAATACCAAAGGGAAGATCACTAAGGGAAAGCCTTTGCTACATCTACTGGAATAGTGTTTGTTTCCACTCCAGTATCTAACTTAAAATAAATTGGCAAACCAGCAATCATCACTGTGTTATACTAGGCATTCTCATTATCAAAGGTCTGTGAGGGCTGCTTTGCAGACATTGCACCCATATATAGGGTATTGACTCCTTTTGCAGATTTGGAGCCTCTCCCTTTTGATTTGCACACTTTTGCAAAGTGGTTCACTCCAGAACATTTGTAACAAGTTTCTTCAAAAGCTGGGCAGGGTCTAGGCTTGTGTGCGCTTCCACAATGTTTGCAAACTTTGCCCTTTTGCAGCTTGATGGCCCTCCTGTGGAGCAAACTTCATTGGTGGTTTGCTTTGCTTTTGCAAAGTGCTATGGCAGCGTTGCTCTTGCTCAACTGTATGCAAGCTGGCTTCTGCAGACATAGCACCTGAGCACCTTGTGAGAGCCTTTGCTCTGCAGATATCCACAGTCTGTGCTAGGGTGAGGGAGGGGTTTTCCAGAAGCCTTTCCTTGAGTTTGCAGTCAGTTAAGTTGAAAACAATTTTGTCCCTCAATATAACATCCTCAGCAGATACAAATTCATAATGCTGTGCTCTACTGTTGGCTACAAAGGACCAACTTACAGGATCGATATATATCTTACTTTATTGTATGGTATGTGAAGTTACCAATAAAATCATAAATACACACTTTGAGTTATAAGGGGTACTGGTCACATAAGTGCACAGGCAGTCGCTCATTCAAACCATGTCATTTAAACCCATGTAGTATAGTGTACAGTAGCTGCTGTAGTGATTGTGAGAGCACTGGTGTCAGTATATCTACCTATCCGAGACCCTGGAGTCTGCTGTTGATGGTCAGCTTCCTTTAAGGTGATGTCTTCTACAGAAGGGGGTTCACTACTTGCCCTTCTGTCTCCGTAGGTCAGGTGCTGGATGAGAGGACGCTCCTGAGGGTCATTGACTTTTATTAGTAGATGTTAAGGATTGTAAATCCAAAAAAAAGATGACAAAGCCGTGCTACATTGCCTTTTATCCCTTTCTGGCAGACTTGTGTGATCCCCCAGCATCATCTTGGCTGCCCAATCTGGAGGTCCTTGTCCCACTTGGGTCTTGAGTAGTGCATGACAGCTGTCAGTCATAGGGATCTCTGCCTGCTGGTAGGTGCAGTTTTGGGAGTCCATCCTTCCATTAATTGACTCAATGGCTGTATTGTTATGGGTTACAGAAATAGTCAATAGAGTGGGTGCTCAGTTTCAGGAATCGGTTCCTTGGCTTGATTAGCCTAAAATGGCTTGTAGAGCAGAGTTTTGTAATGGTAAATTCTTCTGGCTAGGCTGTTGTCAATTAACAGCCAGAGGTTCTTGCTCAGTCATTTAATTACCTACTGATCATCATATAGACTCACATTCACTTAAGGGACCAGCCAAATATAGCAGACTTTATCACTTTACAATTAGAATTTTAACCATTTTTAACAATGGTCCAGGGTGTAACTTCATTCTACAGGGAGTACGTTCCTTAAGGGTTGAAAAGTATAAAAGATAAAATACAAAATGCCATGGTAAAGATGAGACAGATGAAATATAAAAGTGCACTGTGAGGTAGTGAGGGTCAAAGGGTACTGGGGACAGTAAGTGAGTTAGGTTAGCACCAGGATATATTTAGTCTTTGAAGTGGATATTTTAGTACTGTTGTTTTCTTTAGTGACACTGAACTTAATTGATATGTAGATGTAGTTTCTAGGTTTCTCCTATAAAAAGCCATTTCAGCTTTCTGGCTTGCTCTGAGCCTTGCCATACCCATGCAATGTGTTTGCTAGGTCTCTGCCAATACTCAGAAGGAAAAAGAGTGCACAAAATGGGGGGTGCTGGTAAGAAGGAGCTTCTTGTTACACTACTTCTGAGCTCTGTAACATAATCATATATGCCTATAGCCTCATTGTATTTAAGTTGCCAGAACTGATATCTTTCAAAAACATAATTTTTCTGGGTTCACAGTAGCTCCTGAATGCTGCTAGCACCTCTATAACAGTTTTGTTACTAGGGTCTGCAAACACCCCTTGCATGTTGTTGTAAATTGCTAGGGCTTTATCCCCCCATGCAGTGAAGCATGACTACAATTTTATAATTCTCTGCCTCTTGCTCAGCCGCCTCTGCCTCTTGCTCAGGTGACTGCAAGGTATAATCGTAGCTTCTGTTCCCATCTCCTCCAATTCTCCCCAAGATACCAGTGAAGGACAATGCTGGTAGAGGTTTGAAATGCTCCATTATTATTATCTTTTCTTTTGAATAAAAGCTGTAACCTCCTTAATTGGGCTGCTGGTGACTACACTGAGACAGGTCACTTCTGACATCATGTAGTGTTTGCCTTTGGCCACTGGGCTCCTGGGATGGTGTACTCGCTCAGACCTCCATGCCCCTGGGGTTCTGTCCTCGAGTCACCATTCAGCAGAGACCCGTGGGGTGATAAACAGCTTTATCTTTATTAGGAACAGAATTCAGCAACTCACATGCTCACAGCTTGCAGAGAGAACTACAACTACCCACCACCACAAACCACACCCGCAGGGCATCACCGGGAGAGACTGGACCGTTCCACTGCAGGCCTTTAAAGGTACATTCCATACACCACAGCTGCCAGTTAGAAGCCTGGCACAAACTGTGCTCCTGACAGGGCAAGATTCTGGTCAGATGTATCCGGGACAGTGCCCCGGTGCCACAGAACTAATGCCGTGGGGTTGCCTAAACAGGACTTCTAGCCATAATCCCAGCCCAAAATCCAGTTCCTTATTCAGGTCCATATACTTAGCACAGTGGCTGGGGGGGCTGTTATTTGGCAGCCTGGCTTGGCCAAACCACGCTTTGGGCCAGGCAAGTCTCTGGCCAGAGATGTCCAGGAGAGCCCTCTGGTGGTAGAGAGGTGTGATGTGGCTCCCAGTTAGCAGCATGGCACAAACAAACTGCGCTCTGGACGGAGCAAGGCTCTGGTCAGATGTGTCCAGCAAAGTCCCCCGGTGCCACAGAGCTATGCTGTGTAGTGGCCCAAACAAGAGTTCTAGCCATAATCCCAGCCCAAATGCCAGTTCCTTATTTGGGTCCATATACTTGGCAAAATGGCTGGGGGGCTGTCAGTTGGCAGCCTGGCATGGACGAAACACACTTTGGGCTGGGCAAGTCTCTGGTCAGAGATGTCCAGGAGAGTCCCTCAGTGCCACAGAGGTGCGGTCGGGGGTGACCCAAGAAGGATTTCTGGGTATAATCCCAGCCCATAATCCAGTTCCTTATTCAGGTCCATTCATTTAGCACAGCGGCTGGGGTGCTGTTACTTGGCACCCTGGCGTGGCCAAACTGCGTTTTGGGCTGAACAAGTCTCTGGCCACAGATGACCAGGACAGTTCCCCTGTCACGCTGAGGTATTTTGATGGGTGGCCCAAGAAGATTTTCTAGCCATAATCCGAGCCCAAAAGCCAGTTCCTTATTCAAGACGTTATAATTAGTACAGTGGGCATGGGGGCTGGCAGCCTGGCACGGCCAAACTGTGCTTTGGGCCGGGCAGGACTGTGGTCATGCTTCTTTGGGACAGCATTTGGGGTGGCCCAAGTATTTTGCCCCATAATCCCATCCTAATCTGATTTTTGTTTAGGGCTCTGTACTTGATGAGATTATTTTGCATATTAACTAGTACATACGCATAGCTAATGACATTCTGTGTCTTTAGGATGTGTAATTCATTAATAACAAGGTTTTATCGGTTCTAGATTAGCTTTGAAAAAGGAACTGGGACTAAGGAACCACCTTCAGCCTCATCTCGCTCCCGTCCTGAGCCGAGGGCCGAGGGCCTTGCCGGCCCCGCCGGGGGTGGGGAGGCGGCACGACGGCCCGGCGCCGCCCGCTCCAGCTCCGGCCCCGCGCGTCATACGTAACACGGAAGCGCTGTCCGCTCCTGCCTCCCGCTTCCGGCGGCAAAGCCCCACCCCGCTCGGGCAGAGTAGCAGCGGGA